TAGGTCAAGATGATGCCATTGAGTCCTTGAAACCATGATTGAACCCAATTTGCCATTGGCTAGGTGAAAAATCAGAAATTGCCCTTCTACAGTCAAAACCCTAAAAATTACCATTTTGCTCTTTTGATGATTTGATCAAATTTCTTGAGGAGTTGTGGTCCAAACTTGATAAAATGGTTCATGTAACACCCCATCTAAATACCCAAATTAATATTAAAAGATTAAAATCAGAGAAATAAAATTGCACGGAAGGGATGCCACAACACAAAACACATTCCAAATTATTTTTTTAAAGAAAACGGACAGGGTATGTTTGAAGGTATAAGTATTCCAACACAAAACAAACATACAATAAATATTTACTTCATTCTCTCGTGCAAACGCAACGGAGCTTCACAATTTCACATCATCTCCATTATGGAGGAATCAAACATAATCCAAGGCATCAAGCCATCATAAATCACATGAGCATATGTTATCAAGTCTCTCATATACAAAACATCATATACACGAATAAGGATTATATACATCATAATCCAAATACAAAATAATCGAGTTCGACACTAAATAAACCCCCCCCCCCTCCAAGTGTTACTACCAGAGCATCGACTCGACCCTAATCAAAATAAAACAGATTGCAATCCAATACATTCGTTAGCTAGCGCCTCGCGCTACCGCCTTCGGTACCTGCACAATGCCGTCAAAAGCATTGGCCAACAAAAGGGTAAGAATTCCAATAATCATATAACATGTAATTTTAAGTAAATGAAATGGCAATAAATAACGCAATACATAATGATCATGTTCATTTTATCACTCGTAGTATCCTTACTCAAGGAACCCATTTCCAACACATTAACCGTGTAAATCGATTATCCGAAATACTCACATCCTTGGCATATAACCATAATTCAAACAACAATAATATTGGCACATAATCAAAACACATCAACACTCATACATATCATGCACAAATATACATGAGACTCACAACACGACTCAACGTATGCGAATGCGGTACCGACTCGTGGACCCAAGGTTCCACCACCTATGTTTCCATTCCGGATCAAGGTCACTACGTCTTTTCCCACAATAGGGTCACCGTCTAGATATTGTGGACCCAAAGTTCCACCACCTGTGTTTCCCTTCCGGATCAAGGTCACTACGTCTTTTCCCACAATAGGGTCACCGTCTAGATATTGTGTGAACCCACAGTTTCACCGTCTCTGTTTCAAGACCAACCATGCCATGCAATGTACAATATAACCAATGCATGCAATTAAGACTCACAATAATCTTAACATACACATGCCATCAAATCCAACCAATGGAACATCAACTATTGTACATGCATGCATACATATGATTTAACAATCTCAACGTCAAGTAGAATGTATACAAACAAGTTACTTACCCAACCAAAACATAAACCATCAACTATCAAATAATTCCAAATCGGAAAATCGGAACACAATCGTGTCCCAAGGAAAGTGCGAAAATCAGAAATTTGGAGTCTACAGACGCATCAACACGGGCACCCGTGTGCTGCAACACGGCCCGTGTTGAGAGGCCACCATGAACGTGCCTAAAGAAATGCCAAGTCAGAGCATCAACACGGGCACCCGTGTGCTGCAACACGGCCCGTGTTGAGAGGCCTGCGTGAAAACTCCACTCTTTTGGGGTTTTGCTCATTCTACCACCATGGTTTTCTTTCCCATTCAATACTCCTAGTTTCTACAAGCTATTACCTAATACATTCACAAACCATACTCTTAATCCAACTTCTTTAAACCATTCCAACAATCAACCAACAAAATCCTATAAATCAACTATCAATTTTTATCCCCAATTCAAAATATATCTACCAAAACCTAATAAATATGAGATGGAGAATCAAACCCCTTACCTTGGTGTGGGTTATCTTGAAACAAGAAGATGAAGATGTTGCAACTTCACCCTAGCTTCCTTTCTTCTCTTCTCCTCTTTCCTTTTCTTCTTCTTCTTTCTCTTCTTTTCACTACTCTTACTAACTCTCCTTTCTATTTTATAAAACCCTCCTTCTACTACTAACTTTCCTCCCTCTATCTTTCTAAAATTATAATTTGGCCCCAACAATTATTTAACTCAAATTATAATATATAACCCTATTAAACAATATTACACTAAATAATATTCATTCTATATAAACCTAATCATGCCAATTAATCAAACAAAGTCAAATATTACTACACACCAAATTAATATTATTCAAAATAATATTCTGACACAATAAATATTTTTATTTCATATTACCCAATTAATATTTTAATCGATATCAATTGAATATATTTCTCAAAATAGATATAATTTAATAATTTTGGAAAATAATTAATGAAATAACATTTAGATAAAAACGGTGTGTTACAGTTCATATGAGTATATAATGTTGATGTGGATAAAAAATTATGAGGTTTGACTGTAAATTGGCCACAGTTGACTTTTTCCCCAATACAGCTGATTTTTAGGTCAACTATCCAATTGACTGGGCAAAAATTTGATTCAAGGCTTGAAACTTGGTATGAGCAATCTTAGGAGTCCAATATGAAGTATGAAAGTCACATGAGGAATTGGAAGTCCAAAAATCCTTGTGCAAACTCAAACCCTAATTCCAGGCCATCAGTGCAAGGAGATGTCTTGAGCTGAGCAAACCCTAATCTGGTCTTGAGTCTAAAGAGTCTTGTGAGGAGAATCTTGATAAAATGAGAGGGCAAATTTTGGGGTACAACAATCATCTACAATTTTTTCTGGTCAGGTACGATTAAAATGCAACAACAAATGCATCAAATGTTTCCACAATAATATGATGGTGTCATATTTGGAGTGGTTGATAACCAAGAAGTGGTAGACGAGAATGAGAAAGATGAAGAAAACGACACTGACGAGGATTTGAATCAATGAATAATATGAATTTAAATATTTCGAATTAATGATGAATTTATTTAATTATAAATTTATTTAATTATGGATTTTAAAAATTAAGTATGAATTTAATATTTTAATTAATTTCTGAATTTAAATCATTTATTATATTTATATTATTATAAATATTAATTTTAATATTTATAAGAATTAAATATATCATATTTTTATACAATTATTTACTGTTTACGTGGTTCATTTCATTTGACAAATTCAAATTTTTTTAGGTGAATTTCACTTAGCAAGTTTCTGTCTATTTAAATTTTTTAGATGAAATTTATCCCACAACTTTTTGGCAAATCTGCTCTGCAATCAACTGCTATGCTCTGCTCTAACACCTACGCGTGTTCTGCTTTGAACTTTGGGAAGTGGATTGTGGGGTGAATTTCACCTGGCAATGTTGTGAAGTGCTTTTCATCTGGCAAGGTTGTGAAGTGTTTTCCACCTAACAATGTGTTGCCACCAACATTTTTGTGGGATGATTGGTCTAGCCCATAATATTTATGTTGCAGGGTGAAATTTATAGTTGCAAAGTGTTTTTCACCTGACAACTTTCAGTTTTTTGGTAGTGTCTCTACTTCTATCATCTTATTAATTTAAATATTTTTAAATTCAATTGTTTTTCAAAACATTTTTGAAATCCGAATATCATAGTTCACCCACTCCCTCTTGTGTTTTGAATCACTTGTTCAACAAATGACCTCAGAGCCTAACTCTTATTATAAAGGCAAATCTTCTTAAGAGATATGAATGACTTGGAAAAGATTCAGTAAGCAAACTCCATATCCTTTAAGGAGAAGAATATGCTTATTAGAAAGAGAGGATGCAAATCTTTATAGAGAGAGTGAATTATGATATTTAGAATGTTGTTAAAGTTGATCCTTTTATTCTCAATGATCTAGTTGATAGGGTTATGGAAAAATAAATACAGAGAAATCAAGACCAAAGAGGACAAGGGAAAAATACATCACAATTTGAAAGCTAAAATCATTATCACTATCATTCTTGTTATTGATGAGTTTTTTTCGTGCTTCTCCGTATATGGACGACGATGATCCAAAGGGAACGTATAATAGAGCACCTATTTTTAAATGCGAGAATTATACTTATTGGAAATAGAATATATATATAATAGAGCACTATCCATCGACAAAACATCACCAAATAACCACATTTATTATTCCTAAAGGCGACAATGAAGTTGTTAAACACCCAAAAGATTGGATATGATGAAATAAAAAAGACTTCATATGATTTGAAAATGATGAACATCTTATCTCCGCTTTAAGCGTGAAAGTATTCTACTCAATTTCACATCATAAGAGTGTCCGAAAAATTCATGAATTTGATGCGGACTAGATTCATGCTTAATCAACAAACTAAGCAACTTGAAGAAAAAATCTTAACAAAGATTGTGCCAACTAAATATTAAGATCTATGTGTAGAGAGTGACAATAAGTTTCATTTTTAGTCCTTATTAAAAAATTATATATTTTGATCCCTATAAAAGTTTTGTTCATGTCATTTTAATTTTAGTTATTTATTAAAATTTTGAAAACTGTTCAATTATCTTTAAATTTTGAATTTTTGAATTTTTTAAAATAAGAAGAATTAAATATGAATTTTTTAAATTTTAAAAATTATTGATAAAAACAATAAAAATTTCGACTTAAAAAATCAAATTTTAAGTATTTTTTTTTTCAATAATTTTTTTATAAATTTCTAATATATCTATAAAACAATCATTTAAATATACACATAAAAGTAGAGAGTAAAACTAAACTAGATGGGTATTTATTTTGTAGAACGTAAAGATCACAAAATTATTTAGAAAATTAACCCACAAAGAGAAAGAATAGGAGAAAGGATTTTTCTTTAAAAGCTTCAATCATCTAAAGCTAAGAGTTTTAGAGTTTTAGAGTTGTTGAATTTTTAGAGCTGAATTCTATTCCCACCTATGTATGCATATGAATAAATCTTAATCATGTGTTGAATGGAGGAAGAATGAGATTAAAGAAAGATAATTGAAAAGACAGATAGGTATGTGTATCACGGTGTTCATGTGGCAATCTCATCCAAAATACCCTTTCCTCCTCTTACTCAACAGGGACGAATTTTATTCTCGGTAATAATCGCTTACTTCTTTTCCTTATTAATATTACACACAAACAAACATTCACTCTTGTTTTTTCATCTTCAATATGCCAAAGCCCTACTCAACCGTTGGCGTGGTGGGACGGTGAAACAATCTTGGGCGGTAGGGATGGACTCTGCGGTGGTACGTGGTTGGCTTCCACCAAAGATGGCAGGCTTGCTTTTCTCACCAATGTTAGAGAACTCCAAAACATTCCACAATCTAATACCAGAGGGGATCTTCCACTTCGTTTTCTCCAGGTCAAATCATGCACTCCATCTGTTTGTCACAATGACAGTCATAAACATACACATTACCTGCTAGTTTATCTTAATAACTAAAGTCAGGGTTGAGGGTTGAGTCTTTGTAGGTCATATTCGTTGCCAATATGATGTGCTATGTATCATTGTCTATAAATACCACTTTAACATTTCATTTTAGAAACATTTAATCAATCAAACAATCTATTTTACTCGCATTTATCCATTTCTTTCAGCTTTTCGTTTATGTTTTCCTAAATTCTTACATAACACTCTTTGGAGGAGTTAAGGAATTTGCTGTGGATGGATAGAGTTCACTCCCTTGCGTAATCACTTGAAGAAAAAGAAGATCATTCTTGAGAGCTATTAGTCAAAATTTCAAGCTCAGCAATAGTTACTATTATGTTGAGAGTGGAGATAGAACTTTTGATTTCCTTATCACTCCACTTCTTACCTCCCGTATTGCAGCCACCAAACCTGCTTTATATCCTCATAAAGAATACAATACTAATAGCGAAACATTGATATTGGTAATAATTTTGATAAATTATAAACGGTAAAATGTAATTGCATGCATAGTGTCATGTCAGTGATGCATAACATATGGTATTACTAACATTTTATAAGTGACTATATAATCATTTAAGTTTTTGAATATGTTAGGTGGTGTTACTATAACTTTTCAACGTGTCAAAATTACAAAATCATCTCTGAATGTGTTTATTACTATTTAGTGCAGTTCTCAAATGTGTCTTTTATTAGTTAATTTTGTTCTCATATGTGTCTTTCGTTTTTATTAGGTAGTTTTGTTCTCAGATGTGTCTTTCATTTTTATTAGTTTGGTATGAATTTACTAATAGATGTCACACTCAAGGATATTTTTGAAGTTCTGATGCATTTAGAGACTAGAGTGACACAACTTTACACATTTAGAGACCAAATAACTATTTAAAGTCTTATAGAGGTTTATCTTCGTTATTTCTCTTTCAATAGTGTGTTTGTTTGATACATAACCTAACACAACATTACATTCATTAATTATTTATATGTTGCTTCCAACAGAGCAATAAAAGTCCCCAAGAGTTTGCAGAGGAAGTGCTCAAAGAGGCTCATCTATACAACGGATTTAACCTTGTATTAGCTGATATCTGCACCTCCACCATGGTTTATGTCTTCAATAGACCAAAGCACGGTTATCTTTATGTTACTCCTGGAATTCATGTCTTAACTAATGCATCATTGGACGCTTCTTGGCCAAAGGTACACACACACAGTTACTGAGAATTGGTCCATGTATGCAGATTAAGTTACACCAGTACTTGTGAAAGTAATAACACCGGCTGACTTTTGACACTACTACATATCTGTTTTATTAAGGCTGAACGGTTGCGCCATAACTTCCAAGAGCTTATTAATGAGTATGGCGAAGGTGAATTTCCAATTAAAGAAATGGTGGAGAAACTAATGACAAACACAATTAAAGATGATAAAGAGTGCATGCTACCAGGTATTCATCCTCCAGAATGGGAACATCGTCTGAGTTCGATATTTGTCGACACACAACTTCCCTCGGTAACTAACTAACACATTCCACTTGTTTGTGTGGTTAAGCTTAATATTGATTTTGCATTTGACACCAGCTGAAAACTTGCTTGTACTTAGGGGCCATATGGTACTAGAAGCTCCTCTGCTTTGTTTGTCACATCAAACAAAGAAGTCACATTCTATGAAAAACATCTCGAACAAAAGCAATGGAAAGAGAACACGGTAACCTATCAGATCGGTGAGGCATAGTGAATGTCAGGCACATGGTTTAGTTTTGCTGCACAAAAAAAAAAAGAATGTTTAATCAGTTGGATAATATGGTTTAGCAACTCACTGGCACCCTGTGAATATGAATAAAGTGGTCTTTTCCATACAAATTTGATTAACCAGTCCATTCTTACCCAATTTAGTTTGGTTTGGATCGTTTAGATTATTTTTGTCAACATGTTTTAAACATTTCTCTCACTTGGATTATTTTGTTGTTGTTGACCTTTATACTTTATAGTGAGACCTGCATCATCGATTGGTTTTCAGAATATCTTGGGGCTACTTTGCTTTTATAAATGTATAATAAAAGTAAAATTTAAACTTAGTTCAATGTGTAACGCACTATTTTTTTCCTTATGTTAACAATCAAATTCAGATTATCACATCTGATTTGGGTTACTATTGTAATGCCAGTCTGCAATTTTAATTATATCATTTTGCTTAACTGTCACAATATGAAATTGAAATTTGAAACCATCTGCAACCTTGTACCACATTGCATATAACTGCCATAAATCCTCCAACTCCGGGTAAGATTGATTTTCCGTGCTGGAATTCAGTCGCCGATAGAAATTTCACTTTGAAATTTACTACCTAAGAAGCTCTGCGTAGCAAGGATAACCAGCCTGCCTGCCAAAGAGGACCTTTTAATTGATTGATCAAGAGACAGTGAGGATATTCTTTAGGCTTGGCTTACACGAGTGAATTGATTGTTACAAAGGTTAAATCAATAGATGGCTCTGCCTATTTTGATTGCGCTACATGCTGTGGTTTAATCCGAGAGTCTCATTTAAAGTTTGTGAAAGGAAATTGATTGATCAAGTAATGTTCTGTAAAGTTACTTTATTTTCAATCAAATTAGATTTCATTTGGGCCACTACGAAAATTAATATCAATCAAATTAGTCCATACAGTTTTTTGTCTATGATAAAAAGAACTCACAAAGATTTTCGATAAAAATAATTTTTGTGATTAGGCATGACAAAATGACCCGTATTCGCGAGTATCCATCCGAATTCACCCTAAATTTGACTGTAAAAATCCGTTTTGATTGAGTTTAAATTTGAATTTGGATTTTCTCCGATTATGAAATATAATATTCGCCCGAAACTCTCTCCCGGGTCATATAAATATTTGTTTAGTTTTCATAATTTAGAATATTAAATATGTATTCAATGTTTTGATATTTTAATTTGTGTGTATTTAAAATATTTGAAATATAATTATGAATTTTTTTTATTTTATTATTTATAATGTAATTTGATTTTAGAAAAAATAATATTTTTATTAAAAAAGATTTATTTCACTTAATGGATGGTGGCAGAATGATGATACTCAAATCCGACTCGAATCCGTTTGATATGAATTTGAGTTTTAATTCTCCATCTCTGTTAGAGATTGAGGCGGGGAACGAGATTTATTTGGGGATTCAAGTTTGAGTTTGGGGAAGTAAAAACCATCTCGGCCTGTCTCGTTGCCATTCCTACATGCGACGTTGTAATGATGTTGTGTGCATTTAATGTTCGATTTTAAACAACTTTTTCGAAGAATTTTTTTGAGAAATAGAGAGGATCCAAGCCTAGATAAGACAAGAGAAACTAATAGAAAATCACTCGAGGAACATAAATCCATGATGCATCATTTGCGAGTAACCCAACTATATCATCAAGGTACTCAAGATAAATTCTTAATTCTATATCATGCTGAAGAATAAGATTCCTCAAGTCGTCTGTCTAGGACTGACAATGAACTGAACCAACTCGAAAATAATTTGAGATTCGATTCGATAATTAATTCGTTGGTCTTGGTTCATGAATCAAATGAGTTGAATTTGAGCTCAAAATTAAGTTCGTAAAATAGATGAGTTGAATTTGAACTATGTATATTTCGATTCGTTTGGTTTATGAATCGACTAGATATATAAGTTTCATGAAGACATTAATACTTAGTTTTCATATTTATTTATATCATTTGAAAAATGATAAAACAATTTACAATTCTATTGATTACAAAAATTCAAACTCAACATAGTAAAATATATGTTACAAACTTAGGTTATAACATTTCATTATTTGCTCATATTATCTATTTTTGATGATAATATCTTGAACTACAAATATTATTTTCAAATGAAACTTATATTATATGAAAGTTAAAAACAATGTCAATAATTCTTATTGTATGAAACCTAGAAATATTGTCAATAATTCTTATGAATACAAAAAGGATAAATAAGATTGTTTTAGTTGTCATATTATTTATCAAAATTGACTATTTAGATAAGTTTTAACTCTTAAAATTATTTTAATTCTCTTTAACTTTACTATTAAAGTCTCACATTGAAAAATCTACTTCCTTACCTTCTCTTATTCTCCTATATATAGAGCTCATAACTCACATGAGCTATATCCAAGAGTTTCAAGACCCTTTTTCTTCTAAAAAATAATTCATTGGACACTGTTTAAAATTAAAATCTCTTCTAAAAAAAGTTCATTGGACACAGTTTAAAATTAAAAATTAAATGGCTTAGTAAAAAATTTAAAATTATTAAAAAAAAATTGTCCATCTTTTAATTATTTAGTCGGATCGAGTTATTGAGTTGAACCGAATTGTTCATGAATTTTGAACGAGCCGAGTTTGAGCTGGAAAAAAAATCGTGATGAACTCGAGTTGAGTTTCAAGCTGAACCAATTCTTATCGAGCCGAGCTGAACTAAAGTTCGACTCATTTTCAGCCATACGTCTGCCCAACAATTAACTTCTTCATGGATATGTTTGATTCACAGATTCTAATCCTCATTCAATCTAGTTTTGATCTATTGAAAAAATACCACAACCTTCACTAATACAGAAAGTTCTCACATTAATAGAATCCATAATTGTCCGATTGTCGATCTGAAGTTGAATCTTTTTGTAATTCTTATCTCAGAAAAATGATAGACCTTTTAAAACTCCCCATAAAATAGGATGTAGTTAATGACATTGACTAATGAATGTATTATATATTATATCATATATTTAAACTCATTATTCACAAATTAAGATACGACCATTCATGAATACGGGTCAACGATAAATTCATACACCCAATTCAACCTAACTCTTATTTTAATCCAATTCAATCATGTACAGATTCAACACAAATCAATCTGTTCAAGCTCATTTATCTTTTATTCAGATAACAGATTTGAAATTTTGAATTCGCAAATCCAACCTATTGATAAATCATGTTATTTTTAATTTTTATATGTAGAAAATCATCCATTTAATTTATAAGCTATACAAAAAAATAATATTTTTAAACTATCACTCGTTTATAAAATAAAATAATAAAATAACAAAGCATTTTCCTCAAAGAAATAAATGAAGAAAAAAGTTTCCTTCAATTTTATAAATAATCTTTACAATATACTATCAAATCTATATGAATTGAGGGAAACGCTTTGATAAGAAGGAGTAATAAGAAAAGGAATTGTGTTGTGTACGGTGAATTGACTGAACTGAACTGAACGATGGAGTTCTGTGTTGAAGCGGTGGGAACCATAGAAAACTGTTTCGCATCCCTCCCTTTACCTCTAATCCAAACTCTCCAATCCACATCTTCATCTTCCCTCCCTCCTATCCTCGCTCTCGAGCTTCGTTCTTCTTCTCACCCCCCTCACTCCTGGTTCGTCGCTTGGTCCGGCGCCACTTCCTCTTCCTCTTCCCCTTCATCCATACAACTTTCTCAACAATTCGCCGAATGCCTCTCCCTACCGATTCACTCTCCACTTCAAGTTAAAGTCGCCTCTAACGTCCCGCACGCTTCTTCCGTCTCTATAGAACCAGACACGGAAGATGATTGGGAAATTCTCGAACTTAATTCCGAACAAGCAGAAGCTCAAATTCTCAATCAGGTTTGGAATTCGATTTTTCGGAAAATTAAAATCAATTAGGGATAGTGAAAAATAATGATGATTTGTTGCAGATTAGGATTGTTCATGAAGGGATGAGGTTTCCTTTGCGTTTGAATGGTCACACTGTTATCACATTCCATGTCGCTTCTGTTTTTCCCAAGAATGCGGTGGGTAAGAATCACCATGCCTATCATTCATGTTAAGCCAATTATTGTTTATATCCATAATGCAAAACTCGTCTAACACGCCAAACTCTATCAGTACAACTCATGCCAGGAACTGAAGTCGATGTTGCTCCGAAAACACGCAAAAGAAATTCAGATTCACTGGTAGATTCACATGTAGGTTCCAATAGTAAAGATCATACTGCAAAGATGCTGGTCCGTTTACAGGAACCGAATGATTTATGCCGTACCAGTACTCATGTCAAAGGGGTCAAGCTTCATGTTGGGCTTACTCCGGTCGCTTTTGTTCATCCAGAAACAGCCAAGCGGTTCTCATTTAATATGCTTCAGTTGGTTTCCATTGTGCCGAGAGAATCGAAAGAGAATGTTAATCATTCTAGAACTAAATCAAACAATATGAAAATCAAAGGTGGTTCAGCTATTAATCAAGATGAGAATGGAGATACTGACAAGAAGGAATGTCGACAAGCAATTGTTCATCTCTTGATTTCAGAATCTGTGGCTAAAGGACATGTAATGCTAGCTAAGTCTCTTCGCCTTTATTTGAGAGCTAGCTTGCATTCATGTACGTTAAGTTGTTTTAATAATCATCTTACTTAAATCACAATATCATTGAATCAGTTACATACATGCTCATAAATTTAACTGTGCAGGATATTGAGCCCAGTAAATTGTTATTAAATGTATTTGAGGTTGGTTTTTGTTTTATCTGTTTCTTTAGTTAGAAAACTAGCAGTTCTTAATTCTTGTATTTCAGCACTACACCATGCTATTTGTTATTTGCTCTGGTACTTTTACTTATATTTTAAAGTTTTCATGGCGTTGGGAGGAAATTGTAAGGTCTTATGGATATTTTCTCTTGCTACTGGTGGTATTTTAAGTTAAGAGTTATGCTGTATTTT